TAAATGATCAAGAAAGGTAGAATTTAGGAGAGACTATGCAATGGGTGCAGGGGAGAAAATTAGTAAAAGTACAAACTAAAATATATGTATTTGCTTTTATACTATAGTAGGTGAAAGAGGAGCTATAACTGGAAATGGGAGAGAAATGAGTGAAGCTATGGTACAAATTAAAGAAGTTCTAGTAAATTCTAAACAAAAGGTTTTATCAGCCATATTCACTTGGCCAGCAGGTCTAAGTGGGAGTTTTTACTTGTTATCCTCTCCTTTGAAATTCTAATTATTCTGCAGTCATATCTCATAATTACTCTTTATCCTTTCGCTACCAGAGCTTCCTCTGGAGTGGATTATCTTCACTTAGCAAAGGATATTATAATCTGGGTAGCAAGTGCTGTGGTCTGAACCTTGTTTACTTTGAAGCTGAATAAAACCCAAAGAATCTTCATGGACACATTTATTACTCTGTGACTTGCATTATTGGGCATGTACCTCCTTCGTGTTCTTAAGAGTGTGAATTCTGCCAGTGAGGAAACCTGTTTACCCCAGTACATTGTATGGCCCTTTTCCTTAATGATGATTTTTGAAACAAATTAGACTGCAAATCAGAACAAGAGTGGGTGAAAATCTGGTTGCTTTCTGAATTTGTATCCAGATGTCTATTAATCTTATAGACACTGGTGATTGAAAATAAAATTAGACTAAATGTTAATTTTCTGTTATGCCCCTCCCCATTATTAAATCTTAGTGCAAATAAAACCAGCAGAGTGAGATGGTGAGTACTTACACCCTGACATCCCTTTTCCCCTTCCTTGGGATGGCATTTGATAGATGACCCTTCCTGATAGTCTAAATCTGAATCTTTCCGGGTCCTTTTCTTATTCTGAGTCCCATTCCTCAAGTAAGGTAAGTGAGTCAGCTGCTGAACTAACCAGCGCCTGAGTGATGTGACTAAATCACTTTTACATCTTCCACTTTTGAGTCTGTATTTTAATGGGAGCCTCTAGTACTGTGAGTGGTGCAAATGTCCAGACATCTCAAAATGCTGAGGCTTGAAAAAATAATAAATTTCAATACCACAGTAGAAGAGAATATATGTGCTGTTCCCTTTTCTACTCTGGGAGTATAAAGGAAACATTGTTTCTTAAAGTAATTTCATGGGTAAATTGCAGTAAGAATTTAAACACTTCATTTTTGAACTTTGAGATTTTAGGCAGCCTAAGGCTCGAAATTTATGTGAGTTTTTGTTTTCCCACTTACAAAATATGAGAATAATAACTACCCCCATAAGACTGTCAAGTTAAGAAGTATGCATACAGAATGCCATACCACCAAGACCATAAGTAGGAAGTCAATAAATATAATCCCCTTTCTGGTTTCTTACACAATAGCCAACTAAATGATTGAGATTAGGGATGATTTCATGGAAAGATAGTGTTTGAACAGGTCGTTGATTCTATCCAGGATCAAGCATGGATAGAATGGGTAATGGACAGATGGAGGGACATGTTTAAAGTGGTATTGGAGGTAAATTGTGCAACAGATCCTCTTGGAAGGACAAGAAGCTGGAGGCAGGGAGAACTTTCCAGTGCTTTTTGCATTAGTCTAGATAGTGTAGAAAGGAGTGAATTTTGGAAACATAGCAAAGATAAAACTCAGCAGAGTTATTAACTAGATTCAGGAATGATTGGGTTGATGCTGTCTCAGAGCCCTGAGCTTGGTAGAAGATTGAAGGTGTGACGATGTTATTGAATGAAAACAAACATGGCAAGGAGATAGGGAAAAATGTGTTTGGGGTGCTGGTGAGGAAGTGATTTAGAAAATGGTAGCATGTGATATTTAACTAGAAACTTAAGTATCTTGATGTAATAGTAAGATATTTAAGTGGAAAGAAGTTAGAGACAAAAGCTAAAAGATTTGGTGGGATTTAAAAAAAAACAGGAAGGAGAAATGGGAATCACAAGGGGTGCTCATTAATTACAGTTGCAGTACTGGATAAGTATTCTAAGAAAAGGAAGAGTTGGGGATCAAATATAAAACTTGACAAAAGTTTTATAGGAGGAAAAAGAGGAAGCTGAATGGGCAAAGAACCCTGCAAAGGGGATCCAGAAAGAATGAGATCCACACCTGGGAGTTCCAGGCCTCAGAGGTAAAGAGATCCCTGATCTCTAAGATCTCTGGACATAGTCTCTTAATCTGCTTATTCTAAATTGCAGTCATACCAACTCCCCCACCACACCCTGCTTTGGAAAAGTATTCAACAGAGCTGCAACCTCAAATTGCTTTCACTTAAGACCTGTGCAAATGAGCAAATGTTGCTATTATCAAACATGTGACTGAGGTAGATAAGTGGTTTCTAAAAGGCAGTCTTTAAATCACCTATTTTTTAATCACTTGTGGAATTCTAAAATTATATTTTTAAGTGTAGTGATCTGTGTTAATGTTGTTATAAACCCTCAGAATTTCCATAGGGAATTGAAGGTGTTTGTGCAGTATTATGCCTCTTGGATATAATTGTCATTTGAAACTTAAATTATCTTTACTTTCATGCCTAGTTAGTACTTATATGACTTATTTGACTACATGATTACACAGATTGGAAATAGGGAAAATTAAATGGAGGAGAGAAGTGGCTCATGCCATTTGTTTCTGCCAGACAGATTATTTCAGCTGATTTCAATGCATAAAACAGAAGTCTACAGTATTCAGAATAGTTTTAAATTCTGTGCAGATACTTTCATGAAATTTTAAGACTTTTTTTTTCTCTGCTGGGAATCGAACTCATGACCTTGCACATGTGAGTCAAGCGCTTTACCATTGAGCTACATCCCCACTCATACGACTCTTTTTTATCCCCCCAAATCAATCATGAGAAGTGTGTTAAAGAGAAAATCTAGGAAAGTAGAAATTGGACTTTTACTATGTGTAAATAAGGAAACCAAAGCCTCAGATGCGTGAAGTAAGTTATGTGCATTTCCCAAAGTTTTACTTTGATTTAGAAGAAAAGTTTTTAAACTATTTTCCAAAGGTGTTTATTTTTTCTCTCAATTTTTAGAAGGCAAACATAGGTAAAAGTGCTTTTCTTCAAGTTCTGCACTTTGGAGAGGGTATGGGTTCAGTATATATGTTTAAATTGTACTGTCACTTTATTTTCAGTAAGCAGTGCACTAAATCTTAATGTTCTGCATGTTTTCTGTCTTCCCTGACTTCTGTGACACATTAAGGAATTTGATCACATTTCTCATAAAATTAATCCCTGATTCATTGTTTTATAGTCTCAGTGGTCCATTTCTTACACACATGTGCATGCGTGCTCACACTTTAGTATACTGTATAATTATTATTAATGGGTTAGAAATGGCATTAATAAAAGTCTTTAAAATTCAAATGGCCAAAAAACACATGAAAAAATGCTCACCATCTCTAGCAATAAAAGAAATGCAAATTAAAACCACGCTAAGATTCCACCTCACCCCTGTTAGAATAGCCATCATCAGCAACACCACCAACAACAGGTGTTGGCGAGGATGCGGGGAAAAAGGAACCCTCTTACACTGTTGGTGGGAATGTAAACTAGTACAACCACTCTGGAAAAAAATTTGGAGGCTACTTAAAAAGCTAGACATCGATCTACCATTTGATCCAGCAATACCACTCTTGGGGATATACCCAAAAGACTGTGACACAGGTTACTCCAGAGGCACCTGCACACCCATGTTTATTGCGGCACTATTCACAATAGCCAAGTTATGGAAACAGCCAAGATGCCCCACTACTGATGAATGGATCAAGAAAATGTGGTATCTATACACAATGGAATTCTATGCAGCCATGAAGAAGAACGAAATGTTATCATTCGCTGGTAAATGGATGGAATTGGAGAACATCATTCTGAGTGAGGTTAGCCTGGCCCAAAAGACCAAAAATCATATGTTTTCCCTCATATGTGCACATTAGATCAAGGGCAAACACAACAAGGGATTGGACTTTGAGCACATGATAAAAGCTTTAGCACACAAGGGAGGGGTGAGGATAGGTAAGACACCTAAAGAATTAGCTAGCATTTGTTGCCCTTAACGCAGAGAAACTAAAGCAGATACCTTAAAAGCAACTGAGGCCAATAGGAAAAGGGGACCAGGAACTAGAGAAAAGGTGAGATCAAAAAGAATTAACCTAGAAGGTAACACACATGCACAGGAAATCAATGTGAGTCAACTCCCTGTATAGCTATCCTTATCTCAACCAGCAAAAATCCTTGTTCCTTGCTATTATTGCTTATACTCTCTCTACAACAAAATTAGAAATAAGGGCAAAATAGTTTCTGCTGGGTATTGAGGGGGTGGGGGGAGAGGGAGGGGGCGGAGTGGGTGGTAAGGGAGGGGATGGGGGCAGGGGGAGAAATGAACCAAGCCTTGTATGCACATATGAATAATAAAATAAAATAAATAAATAAATAAATTTTAATAATAATAATAAAAGTCTTTAATAAAAACAGAGACCTGTTTTTTACCATTAAGCATGTCAAGCACTCACACATACCTGCCCTTCTGTGATGAGCAATAGCCAGGCAGCTGTGTCTGCAGAGCCAAAATAAGTAGAATATGCAGACAAATTTCCCACCGTTACTATTTCATAAATGCTGCACAGGTCATAGAACTTTAATAGTTCTGGGCTGGGTATTTGCCTTTGTACTTGATCATAGACAATGTTACTAGAAGAAAGTGTTTTTTTGTAGAGTGCGTACTCCATGTTTTTGTCCCAAGAGTGTCAGGTCAATACCTGTTCTTCAAACCCAAACATCAGGCTATGATCCAAAGAGTCAAAGGGAGAAGCCTGGTTATTCCCTTCCTTTAATTTAGTTTGGAGTTTAGAATTCCCATGGCCTGCCCCTTAGTAAAGAACATTTTGTACTTTAAAGTTTGCAGATGTTTGAAAAATATGCATGTTCTTTGGACTTAGACATCAATAAGAGTTTCTTATAACCGCTTCTTTTTTTGCTTTTTTAGATACGGCAAAATAGTCTCCACAAAGGCAATTTTGGATAAGACAACAAACAAATGCAAAGGTATGTTTTTGTGACTGATTATTTCCTAAATCATAGCTTTAGAAACTGATGGAAAGATGGAATGAGCTTTCAGAATCACCCTCATTTTATTAAAAACCAACTGTCATATGTCACCCAGTTTGTCTTGCACAATATCAGCACATTGTTTACGTTTGTTTTGTCCTTTGGTTGAGTTTTGGCTGGAAACCCAACAGCAACTAGCAGTTTGCCAGAATTCCAGATTTGGCACCAGTAGAGTTAACATGCAAAATACTAGCTGGCATTTAGCCCCGCTTTTAAAGGGGGAGTTAGAAAATAGCTTTTCTTCCCTGAGCCTGAGGAGATTAGAGCTGCTTACTGGAGACCATTGGACTGTACTAAAGAACTGAAAAGATTACATATTGTGCAAATTGGCTCTATTAATTAGAATAGAGTAGTTTTAAGCAGTACTTAATTACATGTTTCAATACTCCCAATTGTTCTGTGCTGAATGCCTGTTGACAATATTGGCAGCAGGGAGGAGAGAACCATTTTCACTGACCAAATTGTACCAGGGAGGGGAGGTCATGTGCCCCTTTGAAATATGCTGCTGCATTAATTTGATGCACTGACCTTCAGTTTTCCGTGTAATTAGGATGAGCTCATCCAGCTCCATGAGCTACAAGAGGAGGCATCTACAGTAGGCAGTGCAGATGCTTTGTGGTTCTGACTTTTAATGATCCAGCATCTTAACAATAGGCATGTGATTTCTAGGAAAAGGGAAGAATGGAGTCAGCTGACTTGGAATCTAACTACTGACCCCATGAATTGAAATACAGTTGACAGGAATAGGCAGTGAAGGCAAATCTCCTCATTAATTAGACCCCAGTTTTTCAAGGAGTAGTGATGGGGCAGTGGCTTAGCACAATCTGAAAAAGGCAAAGAACATAAATGAACCCTATGGTTAGGCCTCTCCTTGTAAACCAGCCATTTCCTTTAATCTAGACTTGAAGTGGTTCATTGTATTTCTTTCTCTTCTTCAAAGTGCCTAGATTTAAAGGAGCTATTGTGGCAAATAATCTGAGCCCATGTTTAATGAACATGACACATTAAGGCAGTTTAGCCTTGGGAGAGTGAATAGAGTGTGCTTTATGTAGACTTGTACCCAGTAAATATTTAAAATGAATTAAACTAGAGAGAGTCAAATTGTAGACAGAAATGCACATACTTAGTTGCCAAGATTAGTCTTGTTTAGCATTCATTAATGATTTGGGAGAGCAGAGACACAGAAAAAAAATCTTTTGGTTTTGTAAAGAAAAAATGGACTCTTGTAGGCACAAAACAGAGAGCTGATCTCAAAAGGTAATTTCAAACCAGGAGAGAAATCATAGTCGATAAGTGGTGTTAGCCTTACCATACCTTACCTCCTTTTCTTCCCTGCCCCAAAAGAAATCTGATGTGGTAGCTCAGGATGCTAAGAAGCAGAGCTTCCCCATTAAGTCCAGGAGAGGACCCAGAAATTCCCCTGGTTAAGATTCTCCACCACCCACCACCCCAAACTGAAAACCACTATCATACATTCTTTGCCTCCTCCCTAGAAGCCAAAATTCCACAAAGTGCTTATGATGAACTAGAAAAGGTATGGGTGGAAGCAAACTAATGCTAAATCTGACATGTTATCATAGTGAAAACCCAGTTGGAACCAGTCCATAGATAACTGGAAAGATTTATGGGACTTCTAAATAAAAGTAGGCATAATTCAGAACTGTTTTTAAATCCAAGTTTCCTGCAGACCTTTTGAATAAGTGGGTCGTGAGAGACACTGCCCTGTGTGTGGGCAGTGATGAAATCCTTCAGGGCTGTCTGCCTCACACAAGCCTCCTGAATGGGTATCAGCAGATGTCTGGGGGGTGGGGAGAGGGTAAGCCAGAGTAAGTTTATAAAGCCTGAGACTGAGAGAGTTTTGGCTAGGGGCGGGGTGGGGGGGAATAAATGCTGAGGCAAATGAGAGAAATAACACTTAATTTGGCTCAAAATAAAGTTAGATAATGTGCTACCCAGTATAACTTGTTGTGATAGGTAGGTAGATAATTTATTGATAGATGATACATCGATGAATATAAATTAACACATAAGGGATTAAGTATTATTATAAATGAAAAACATTTATATCATACAGTAATTTTTAGAGATTAAATATATTCAAGAATCATGTATGGAAATAAAAGTTCTAAGAATGCCACAGGACATTTTTTTTGGTCCCAAAACATATTTTGGAGTCTATTTTGAACAAAATAAAGTTAAAAGCAACATTAAGTCTAAATAATGTACTTTATTTTGCTTTTTTTTCCTTTTTTTTTTTTTCCGGTACTGGGGACCAAACTCAGGGCCTTGCCACTAAGCTAAATCCCCAGCCCCTAACATGTACTTTAGTTGTTGAAGAATCAGTTGTTATTTTGTGTCAATGTTTGTCAGAGTTTAGCCAACAAAAAGTATTTAAATACTTACCAACATGTAACAAAAAAAAAAAAAAAAAAAAGCTGTAAAGGATTGGTTGTAAAACTGATTGTCAGTACTTAGAAGAGTTGCATTTAAAACCAGAATGTACATATACTCATACTTAGGTAAGAGCAGGAAGCTTCATTTTATTATAAAATGGCTCTGTGTTTTCCTAGTGGCAAAAGCAAAAGTAGAAAACATAGCCATTCCCATAATTCAGTCATCACATTGTGGGGGGAGAAGGAAAGAAGGTGTCAGTGAGCAAGATTAATGGAACTGTTCCTGGTTCTGGGACCTGAGAAGAATCTCCTGGGAGTCTCAGTGAGAGGACCTGCCTATTACTTAGTGAATCCCATCTTCAAACAACTTTATACATGTTTATATAATTAAATCCATAGACACTGCATAACTCAAATTTCATATGACCTTATATTTACTTGAAAGTCATAGAAAACAGAAGAGCACAAGATCACAGGCTCACTTGTCACATTTATCTTCAGCAAATGATTATTAAGTATTGTAGTAGGATTCAACAAAGGTCAGAAAGAAAAGAAAACAATTAACTAGAATACAGCAATTATCTTTTTCTCTTAATAAGAAAATTACAGATAAAAATGCTCATATCTACTTCAAGTATAGAGTAACATCATAATTGAGATCTTCTGCTTATAGTAATTGGAAAATGCAAAACTGGTGAGAAAAACTTAAATATCCATCAATATGAGCTATGTTATTGCAGCATAGCTGGGTATTCATTTATGACCTGCTGAAATTGTATATACAGATGAGAGAGAATGTTGTGTGCATAGTCACAACAGATTTCTAAATAACATCCAAAATATGTTTAACCTTATTCCTAACCTAGCAGTTTAGTAGCATTCTCCCCTTTGACCTGGATTAGCCGCCTCCTTCTCCCCAGTCTAGCTATTTCTCTACTGTCTAAATGAAATTAAGCCTTATTTCAATCCAATTCCAAGTAATATAAAGAAGCTGCTTCTTACTTCAGCTTTAACATTTATCTCCTAAAACATCTATTCTGTAATCGATAAGTCTACTCTATTTCATTACAGCTTACTTTGTTATCTGGCAATATTTTGGGTACTAATGCTACAAAACTGACTGGACTGTTGTTAAGGATTTCTGTTTCATTCTGTGGCCATACATTTGTTTCTTTTAACACTAGTGCCATACTAAGTTACTATTTCTGCACAATACCTGGAAATCAGTGATAGGGCTGCCTCCTCTTCTACACAACATCCAAATGGTGCTTTTCTTTTTCAAAATATACTTGTAAATGCTCATTAAGTCACATGCCTTTAATCTCACCTACTCGAGAGATGGAAACAGGAGGACCATGCTTGGTTCAAGGCCAGCCTGGGCAAAAGTTAAGAAGACCCTATGTCTAAAACAAGTCAGGGGTGGTGATTAACATCTGTAATCACAACTTACTCAGGATGGAGGTAGGAGGGCATGATCCAAAGTTGGCCAGGGAAAAGCACAAGACTCTATCTGAAAAACAAGCTAAAAACAAAAGGATTCAAGCAGGAGACCCTGAATTCAATCCCCAGTACTGCCAAATTGCCAAATAAATAAATGTTTTGGCTAGAACCCTGTTCTCTCTCTTTCTTTCCTTCTTTCTTTCTTTTTGTGATGGGAGTGGGATTTGAACTCAGGGCTTCATGCTTGCATTCTTGCAAAGCAGACACTCTACCTCTTGAGCCACACCTCCAATCCATTTTGCTCCAGTTATATTTTGGAGATGGCATCATGGGCTCTTGTGAACTTTTTGCTTGGACTAGCCTCAAACTGAGGTTCTCCCAGTCTTAACCTCCCAAGTAACTACTATTACAAGCATGAGCCACTTGTGCCCAGTGAGTTCGTTACTTTAGCAGTGTACTAGATATACCAATCTTTTCTCAATTACTAAAGCGTTCTCACAGTGAAAACTCTGTGGTTGTCTGTTTTAATTCAGTGATGCTCACAGAATCTGTTGAGTTTCATTGGGCTGTGAAGTCCTGTGCTTTGTAGTTCTTCTCTTTATTGCTTCTTAGTGTTGCTTCTGCTAGATGATATCCATGTGCATATTTCACAGCCCTATCCTCACCCCAATCCCCCCTTCCCCTAATTTCCTGTTTTGATTTCTTATGGCCTGGGAAAGCAGATTACCAGCTCATTAAAAATGTTTGTGAAACTGTGGTTAAATAAGCTTTGAACCACAGCCTCTCTTAGGTGGGTATTTGTCTTGTTATACTTCATTTTGCTTTTAGATTTGGGGGCATGAACTACTGAAACAACTGTCTTGATTATCTAGAGGCATTTTCATTCCTTCCTTATTTTGAAGGGAAGCGATGAGCAGTATTTTAACCAGGTGCTAAAATTTAGATTATTTTATATTTTGAGTAATGGTTGTACTTATTTTAATGTTGAAAAGTAAGTTTTGATTCTGACTCTCTCAGCTCAGAAGGATGGTCTTGTCTTCCTTGCTGCATTATTAAAAACACTGCCCCACCCCCACCCCCACCCCCTTTTTTTTTTTTAACCTTGGTTGGTAACTTCAGTGTCAGTTTTTCTGAGTAACTATAGGACACCTGAGAATATCTCAGAAAGAACAAAGCTAGTTCCACCTTCCCACTCCCCACCTTGAAGAGAAGGCTGTCCATGATAGACGTCAGTGCAAAAGACCTGAAGAAACCACTGTGCTGTATCTTTAAACACCTTTACAGCATCAGTACATATCTTCTTCTGTTGTCTGCATCAGAAGCAGAATGGAATCATTCTTTTATTCTTTATACATAATCATAAAATGATGGCTTTTGAATAAAGTTTGTTTTCATTTCAGGTTATGGTTTTGTTGACTTCGACAGTCCTGCAGCAGCTCAGAAAGCTGTGTCGGCCCTAAAGGCCAGTGGGGTTCAAGCTCAAATGGCAAAGGTGAGTGGAGAGCTTCACCTGAAGCCTGACACAGCTGCTCTTCCCATCACCACCCCTCTCTCCCCTCATCCCCAGTAGCCACGGTAGCCGCCATTCTTTCTGGACACCTCTCCTCTGCCTTCATGTCCTCAGCAGCAGCTATTGTGACAAAGACATTTATTACTCATAATTTACAAATGTGTAATTTGCATAGTGAATTATGTAACCCCATAAGTAAATCAAAAAATAGCACCAGATTTTCTCAGGCAATCCAGAATTTGGGAGTCTTTTAGATCTGTTCTATCTTATTAAAAATAATTTTAAAATTTTAGTGCCCAAGCAATTACTCCGTTTTAGAGAAAAAGGTAATGTCTTATTTTTGAGAAATATATAAATGGCACATACATGGCTTTCATAGAAGTAGTTCTTTAATACAAATGTAAGTAGACATTTTTACACATTGGTTATGGGATTTAAATCTGCTCTTTAGTAGTTCTACATGGGCTTTATTCAAGATTTGTTTCCAGTGAACTTTTAGTATTCTAAACAAGGACCATTGTTGGAAAGTTCCTCCTGGTAGGAATGTGCCTAGACATTCAAGGACTATATATTCATGTTTGATATCTGCTTTAGCCTAGCATACACAGATATTAATTACTGTAAGATAGCATGTTTTCCATGAAAATGTTTGTCTTATGATAGTCTCCCTCCAAGGTTTTTACCTAAAATCCAGAATATCATAATTTAGGAATTTGAATGGTGTCGATCTTTCCTTCACATTAGGTTAATCATCAAAGTTAGATAGTTGAAGATGCCCCATACTTCTTTCAAAAGTCAGGATGCCTTAGATAGACGTTACAAACTTGGACAAATTGGCCTTGCATGATGTAAGTCACTAGTCCAGGTACAGTCATGCTGCTTAAGCTGTACACCTCCCAACCATCTTTCAAATAAGCATGATCATTTGAACTGCTGGAGTGGCTCAAGTGGTAGAGCGCCCACCTAGCAAGCATGAAGCCATGAGTTTAAATCCCAGTACCATTAAAAAAAACAAAAAAACCAGTTACTTTGGAGTGGGACTATGTGCTAGAGTGCCTGCCTAACAAGCAGGAGGCCCAGAGTTCAAGCCCCAGTGCCACCAAAAAAAAAAAAAAAAAAAAAAAGTGAACAAATAAGCATGACTTTTTATTAAGAATTGAGATTCAGAGAAGAGCATAAACCTTAAGTACCATGCATCTCTTAAGCATGTGTTTTGTCATGAACATTCCATTATCCACTGAACACATCTAGGAGACCCAGGACTAAATGGATACTTCTAGTCTTTTTGGCCAAATGTAAGCTTGAGTTATATCCTAATACCTAATACCTACAGTGCAGTTATGGAACTACTCATGTAATTATGTCGATTTTCCCCCATCTTAGCTCCTTCAATTGCTGTAGGAAATATTTTCAACTCTGAAATGTGGCAGTTTGATATTCTGAGTATTTTTTTTTGTCAAAAGAGCGATCATTTTATATTCTCTGGCTTCATGAAGTATAGAAGAAAGTATTTTATACTGTTGTCTGCTGCCTCTGAATAGTAGCACATGATCGTTTGCTCAGCAGCGCTCACATGTCCATAAGGAAAGAAGGGTTGTGGATATCCAAGGTCTCTGATGAAAAGATAAATTACTTGCTCAGACCTTACCTGCTAAGGGCCACTGAAGAACACATGTTCAGCTACTAGGAGAGAGATTTCCTTTGAATATAAGAATCAACACAAAGATTTCAGGAATTAATAAAAGTAATCATATTTTAAAGTAATCCTTGCCATAAAATATTTTTAAAGCTTTATGTTGAGTTGGCCTTTGGACTTTCTTGGTGAAGGAGTTAAACATCATGATTTTCAGATCACTTGTCATCATGTGGAGCAATTTCCTATAGTATTGTTGAAAACAATGAGTTTTTAAGTATATTGTAAGCATGTGATACCTGCTTTGCATAATGATTTGCAGAATGTTTAGTCTAGCCCTGTGATCAATGAATGACTAGCTATTCTATAAACAGTACTCAAGGCTCATTCAGAAAAATGACACTTCACTATCTTCCCTCCATCCATCCTACTCACTGTGCAAAGCTCCTGCTTCCTGTTTGGATAAAATCTAGGGCAGATCCCATGGCTTCTCCAGCCAGTCATTATTTCAGAATATCTCTCCACTTGCTTTTTGCATTTCAGGGCTTTTCTGGTTGATGTTTTTTGGAAGAATGCCTTAGTTTTTCATATTTAAACTCCATGAAACATACATCTCTCTCAGTACATTTTGAACCATTCCTGTCTATATTTTCATTGTCCAACCTCAATCAATATGGTATTTTAAACAAGAAATCATATGGGGAAAGCCTCAAGTTAAATACAGTGTATAGAATGTTGGTATATACAGAGATTTTGAAAACTGTCAAGAGTCCACAAAAGCGATGTCTTTTTTGCTGACAACTCTACTGACTATTTGGTGATCAGAAAGCAGTATTTTGAAGGTTTCCATCCCAGCATAATCATTAATTATGTGTGTGTGTCTATATGTATAGATAGATAGATAGATAATTTATATATATAGACACACTGATATATAACATGTTTTTAGTTACATTTTAAGTAATTATAGGAGAATTAGTTAAATTTTAGAAGATCAGTTGGGGTTGTGACAAAAGCATAATGCATGATAATTTTTTCTTATTTAAAATAATGTGAAACATTTTAACATTAACATTTTAGTTAACATTTGGTTAACATTTTCATGCTGAAAATCTGATTTTCAAGAACAGATTATTGATGTTAAATATGTGCTGCTTGTAATTTAAGTGTCCAGTCCTATTTGACAAAAATTTTGAGTATCACAGAATGATAGTAAAAACTTCTCCCTTGTCCTAGTGATCAAGGTCAGTTCTGCTACAAGTAACATACTTATGTTGGGCTGATTCCTTTCTTTTCTATTTCCAAAGTGTGTGTTTCCCCACTCTTGCATCAGCTTCCTAGCTGTGGTTTCTAGCCCTCCCCCCAACCCAAGGATGGACAATGGTAAAGAAGGCTTATTGACCTGACAGTGATATCATCTGATGTTAATTTCTTTGGCCTAGCAGCATGCTGATGCTTTCTCTCATGAAATGTTTCAGGCATTTTTATCTTCTTCTGAGCTCTCTGCCTAACCACACCCTGTCCCCAATTGTCTTTCCCCTATAGTCCTTTGAAGGGGACTTGTTCTTAGGCTGATGCCCTTAGCTTCTGATATTCAAATGGTCTATCTTCCCCCTCCTGCATTCAACCCATGACCAGCTCTATTTGTGTGGCCCATATTTTTTAGTTTTGGTTTTGGTTTTTTGTTTGTTTGTTTGTTTGTTTTGAGAAAGAGGTTCCCTGTGTATCCCCGGCTGGCATTGAACCCATGATACTCCTGCCATTGAGTGCTGAGATTAGAGAAATGCACTCAGCTCTCAGTGTAGCCCACTTTTGATCTACCTTTGCCAGCCATCAGAGAAGAGGAGTTACTTCCCAACCATACTTTTAGGCCCCTTCCAGCCATCCTTTTTCCTTTTCCATTGCTCAGCTTTCAAGTTGGACATTGATCCAGTGTACCCAGCAAAGCCCTGTGGGACACAAACCAAGCTTCCTGAGTGATGTGTGGAAGCCCCTGCTGCTAGAGTAATAACAAGAAGAAAGAACACACATGCTGAGACTCAGACCACGACTGCCTTTCTCTCCACCTAAAGGCACATTCTCAGCCTTTCCAGTCTCTTCTAGACAGACAGGAGATGGATGGCCAGCTAAGCATCCCAAACCAGTTCTCAGCCAGCTCCTTGCGTCTCTCTTTAGATGGTCTAGTTTTCATACTCTAGAATGTGGGAGCACCCAATACTTACTGTTTTATTGTCTCTTCTGAAACAGAAAGAAGCCTATTTTTTCAGTCTGTTTAAAAAAAAAAAAATGCAGGGACCTTTTCTAGACTGGTGCCCTAAACACTTACTGCTAGGCATTATTTCCAATGCCTGTAATACTACGAGGCACAGCATATAAGATGTACACTGTTTTGAAGAAGTCTTTATAACACATTTAATCAAAATGGGACCAGGAATAGATTGGCACTATACTTCGTATCAGCAGTGCACTTTGAATGCCAGCTTCCCCATGAGTTGATAATGAGCAGTGTGCAAAGACCTCCTCAGTAGACTTTCTCCTGCAGATTGGCTAGGAGAAATGATCTCTTCCTCTGTCATCTGTAAGGAGGATCAGTGCCCAGGTTCAGAGATGTTGGCCGTTTGCCAGCCTTCTGCCTAGTCTGCATTTCTTCAGGTCCCTGCAGAATGACTTTATAGTTTCTTGAATCTGATTTCTTTTTCATTATATCTTAAAGTTACAACATGTATTTTAAATGCCAACAGACCTCTTTTCTCTACCATAAAATCATGGGTTTGTGTCTGAACTTGGCCTAACCTCCTTATGCTGACTGGATCAAGCATAAATTCCTTTGGGAGAGGATTTTTAAGTCAGACTCCCGTGGTTAGATAATAAGGAACCTATCACTGTCCATTTTCTTCTAGTAAATTAATCAGGATACTAAAATGTATCAAAAGTTCATATATTAAATTTTTGCTCTCATATTATCTGAAAAAAAAATTAAGGGACATTCAATCAAGGGGAGGCAGAAATGTAATGTTGTTTGACACTTTGGTTACCTGGGTTGAGAGACTACCCCACAAATGTTCAAAAGTAGATTTAAAAACTACGAATTGAGAGCATTAGAAACCAGTGGTTGGTTCTTATCTATGTTTGAATTTTCAGTGCCATGCTTGGTACCTGCCATAGGGTAAGTTATTAAGTGTTTGATTAGTTGATAATAAAAAAAAGTCAAATTAAGTAAGAAAAACTTTCTTCTGAGCTTGGGAAGATATTGGAAATTAAGAAAGGGACATTTGGAAATTATATCCATGGAGTACCCTTACCAAATAGAAATGGCCTTGTGTCTTTTGGAAAGCAGATTTATGTTAAACTTGGCAGATGTTTCAAATATGTACATTTTTCAATTCTATTGAAAAGAAAGGAAAAGAAACTCAGCTAACAAGATAAAAAGATGTAAGTCACGAATGAATCAACACTGATGATATCTGTTAACAGAGTGACTTCTGTGGGCCGTTGTTACCTCCTAAGGCCTGCTGGGGGTCAGTAGATCATGTGGTGTTATTTGGCTGGTGGTAAGCTTGCACATTTTTCTAAACAAATAGGCAATCAAACAAGTGGGGATTTAATCCCCCCTCCACCCAAAGGTCCACCATTCTCCAAGCAGTTTGCAGTGACATGCCCATGAGCTACGATCTGCTGGTTGGTGAACCTATTCAGTACAAGAGAAAACAGATGTCTGCTCTTCCTGCCAAGTCCCTTTCTTGCACTTTAGGATCCATTCCACACGCACAGGGAGGTTTTTGTTAATTTCTTTCAGATGATGACTGAGTGCTTTACACCATGCAGGACCTCCGAGCCCCGCTTTTCTACTCAAGTGAACATTAGTGCCGTTTATCCCTCTCACTGCCAATGTGGGACCTAGTTTTCCACTTGTTAGAGAAGTCCTTGAATCCTTTCCGTGCCTGGGACATAAAGAGGCCCATTGCTCCCACTTTTGATTGGCCACCAATAATGAACGCTGACAGAATAACTTTTTTCAGACATAGCAATTTATTGTGTAGACATAACAAAACAGTTATGGTTGTCATTGATTTTAAAGAGACTAAATTATCATCACTGAAAACACCACCAATGACTACAAATACTATATGGCCCATTCACTATGAATGTGTAGTAGGGAAGATACCTGGACACTTTGGGGATTGGATATTTTTGTGCTTGGGGTTTCTTCCCATTGTTTTGTTTTGTTTTGTTTTAACTTTAAAATGACTTTGACACTATGGGCAGTGTTTTCAAGACAGATTGACCAACTGAAAAGAAAAATAAATGATATTAGCTCTAATGGTCATCCTAAACGAAGAAATCTAACTGACAGGGTTTTGCCATTGAAAATAAATACAAAAAAATCATAGGAAATATTTACATGTATTTAATCCAGTCTAGCTCACTATATTGAAGAATGGGTTAAAGAACCCTTTTTGTGGATTAATATTTTTTCCTTCATTGATAAGCTTTCAAGTTGAATCAAGACCTTGAAGAGTATGTATTACTTTCATTAGTATTTTAACAAAAGAAGCAACTAAGAAATTTAAAAAGTGCTTAGAATCCACAGTCAATCCCTTTTAAAATTACTTCATGTATAACAGATTCTGTGAGCACTCTTGAATATTAGTCATTCAGATCTTTGTAACTGTCATTTTTAAAGTCTATTTCTTATGTGACATTTTTATGCCATATCTTTGTGTAGAGACTATTTTAATGAAGGAGTTCCTAGCTTTCTTCTGAATCTGACTAAGCATGATTCAGAAATGTTTCTAAGATAGGTTTGATCCTATTACTCCCCTGTTTCCATGCTTTCAAAATCTATTTTTGAGGGTGTGGCTTTCAAACTGCAGTTCCTCCTTCCTCCTACCTTCCCTCACAAGCTTATCTTCCTGCAGTATCAGTGTTAACTTGATGGTATTAAGTCACTAATGTTTCTCAATTAAAACAAACTTGAATTGTTAAGAGAGTAGATTGCAGAGTTTACCTGACTTTCTTTAAGATAAGGCTTAAGACTTCAAGGAAATTTCACTGCTCCATTAAGGATACTTTGGCTATTGCCCACAGACTCCTGTATGCGTAGCCATTCTCCTTGCTGGTGGGGTAACTCTCCTTAGGTAGTAAAGTCTAGGCAGAAATGACTGACAAAATAAAGCCAAACTCCTTAGATAGCTTTTCACACTCTGTCTTAGTATATTGATTTCTGCATGTTCTTCAAGTCCCATCTCCCCTGAACAAAGTAGTCATTCATGTCTTTAAGAGAGCACCCCATCTGTCTCCCTGCTATGATTTATACATTTATAACCTTTACTTCAGGTGTTTCTCCTGCTTAATGGTAAGCTACTAGAAGACAGGACTGGTGTCATAGTTATTGTATAGTGAGAGTCTGGGATGTCAAGAAGTGCTGGGAAAGCTCTTTAGACCACCTTCAGGGAGAAAGGATCCTGTTTGTGTTGACTGGTGCACGACAGATTTCCATAGTAACAACTATGTCTTACAATCCTAGAAAGCTTCAGAGACTTCAAAGGTCAGGGCCTACATAAGATGGCTAATTGAGGAACTGTGCAATTAACTGAGGGATGCTGGTAAAGGTAGCAAGTGAAACGGAAATAAGAGGATAAGACTTTACCTCTTACTTCATCTCAGAAGAATTTCTCTATATTTTGAAGTGCTGCCTGTATTATTGTCTTACTTCTATTAAACTCAATCCAGTTTTAAAACATTAAAGATAAACTTTATATAATTGAAAATAGAAGGTTTTGCTCAGCATAAAATAGTGATTCCACATCAGACTCACCTAATTTCAGCCAAAAGTGAAGATAATTGCCTTTTTTTTTTTTTTTAGTCCTATGAACAGTTAATGAGAACAAGTGTTTACCTTGCTACTGAGTATTTGAAAATTTTAATGTTTTCTTGGACCCACCCATGACCTACTGTGAGATTCTGGGGCATCTAGACTGGGAGCCAGTGCTCTGTACATTTGGAGCTGACCCATCTGCACTCTGCCTTCCTCAGTGTCCAGACCAGTAAAATACAGTCAGTCCTTATTGCCTATATTGCTCAGTCTTTGATAACTTTAATTCTTGGCAATACAAAGGCATTTGCCATTCCACAGGATCCCAGAAGTTGTTTTATTTCCATATTTTTGTGGTGCTGGAGATCGAATCCAGGGCCTCCAACATGGTAGACAAGAGCTCTATCACTCAGCTACACCACCAGCCCCAGATTGGTATTTTAACTCTTTATCAGTTAACCATCGCACAGAAGATCAGTGCTCACTTTTACATGAAGATTATATAAAAGGAAAGATTTCATTTCAAGCTTAATTAATGCTGGGATACATGGGAAAGACTTTATTACAAATTCAGACGTGCATAATTCTTCACATGTATTTTTTAAATACTGTGTATTTCAGAAATCTAGGAATTTACAATAAGTGTGCTATTCTATTGCCGAAGGCTAAACCTTCAATTAAGGATTCTACTAATAGTTCTTATTAGAGAAAAATCAAAAGCTCTCATGCTTCAATATATAAAGATACAATTGGAGAGCTGGGATTATGGCTCAGTGGTAGAGCATGGCCTAGAGTGTTCAAATCCCTGGGTTCAGTCCCAGGGACTGACGGTGGTGGAGGTGGGGGGACAGGACAGTTAGTTAATCGGATCACAGGAAAGACTGGTTTTTAAATCAAAGTTATACTAATTTCACCATTGCAGAGGTGAATTTTGACTTAGTCAGAAAATGTTCCCATTGTCAGGTAAGTTTTCTTTACTGATGATCTCAGAGCATTGCTTTTCAAACTTTCATGTATTATTAATCTCCTGGGCATCTTAAAATACAGCTTCTTATTCTGTAGGTCTGAAGCCTGAGATTCTAATAAGCTTCCAGGCAATTTCAGTACTGCTGGCCCCTGGACCATGGATCATTATTTGTGGAGCAAGGATTCTCCAGTTCAGCTTTTCCTAGATTCTAAAATTTTCTGTGCCTGTAGTGTGTCATTTTCTATGGCCTTGAGTTTCTTGTTTGTGTTAAGTTAGAAGCTCTCCTTTTTCTACTGATGACCACTGCTTAAAAGTTAGTATGGACTCGGCTAGAAGGAAAGCAAAAGGAATTTGTGCAGAGCCGGTACTGGACTCTACACAACTTGGTCCAGACACTTCTTCTTGTAGCTCTAAATTGTATTAGCAGTAATAGTCCCCTACGCAATAGTACACCTGAAATGGACTCCTAAAAATAGCAGCAAATGAGAGGTTGGCTATTTTTGGCAACACTGCAAACAGCTGAGGGTTATGGATTCAGGAGAGCACCATCGTCAAGTCAGTAGTGCCTGCCAGCGCTGCCACCTCCAGATCTGCTGAGAAGGACTCTGGGGTATCATGTGTGACCTGTGCAGATTGTCTAAGCTTCAAACACTATTTTCTAATGTCCAGGGTGACTTGGGTGTTCTGTACATCCTATGGTCTTACTAGGAAGTACGTTAAAAAGGGCTTGAACAAAAAGAGTGACCAAGTAAAAGTAGGTATGCTAACATAAATATCTTACCTTCTGTTGGAAAATTGATAGAAGCTCTCTGTTCTGCTTTAGCAACAGGAACAAGATCCTACCAACCTATATATTTCTAATTTGCCACTGTCCATGGATGAGCAAGAACTTGAAAATATGCTCAAACCCTTCGGACAGGTTATTTCTACGAGGATACTACGTGATTCCAGTGGCACGAGTCGTGGTGTTGGCTTTGCCAGGTAAGCATATTGCCATCCGTTATATCAACCACAATAGCTCCACTAAATCATCCCAATAAAAAATGACCAAGAAGAGAGAATGTAAGCCAGGGTTACGGGAAGTAGGTGTATCGTGAAATTACATGTTAATTTATATGGAAATTTTTCCAAATCTGTGGAAGTTTGTTAGGATTCCTAAATCTGAGCATACTAAGTACTTGGTGGCTTACAGCAAGGAACTATCACGTGAGCAATGGTTCTGAAGATATTTGTCTTTATATCTTAGTTAATTACATCGGGATGCTTCTAAACGTCTTAAAAATGACAGTCACTCTTCCAAATTTCATAGATAAATGTTTTTCATTAGAAATTTGATTCATAATCAGAACGTGATTTAATTAATGTTTTTAAGTTAAATACTTCAAACATTCAAAAATTAAGACAAAGATATGATAACTGCTACATAAATTTTAACAACTGACATTTTACAATTCTTACTTTAGATTTTCTTTAAAGAAATAGTATTTCAAATATAAAGTGCCTTATTTCCTTCTATTTCATTTTTATCCCTTCCTTCCCAGAAAGGGAAGGTTTGTAGACAAAAAAATACTAAAGAGAAAGAGCCTTGATTTTTGGCAAAGTTCTAATCCTAAGGCTAATATTCAAAAGCTGAACTTATTAACAGTATGCTTAACATGCTTCAGATTAACAAGTTTGATTTTGAAGGAACAATTCTGACATTTTAATTTCTAATGGAAAAGATAGTCTTTACTACAGACTTGTGATTTCAACAAAGCATCATTACACTTTACAAATTTGAGAAAATTTGTAGGCAAAAAAATTGAGACACAAAAGGGCCTTTTCCTATTCACCTTGCTGCTAAGTCATAAAGTAAGGGCTACTGCTTGATCTCTGTCTTTTAGTGCATTGCTCTGTCAGGCAAGACATCGTTACAGTGAGACTAAGCTACCCGTCAGGAGTATGTTGCTAACCCCAGCATCTGCAGTGTGCGCGTCTATCTATTTGTAAATGTTTTACTGTTTTGTATAAATAGGATGGAATCAACAGAAAAATGCGAAGCTGTAATTGGCCATTTTAACGGAAAATTCATTAAGACCCCACCAGGAGTTTCTGGTATGTTGTTTGTTAAAATTTTTATCAGTAGTCTTTTATGTAATGTGTCTGTAACTTTAACAGCATGATGATTTCTTAAAAACAACATTTATTCTTTAAATTTTCTTCATATCAATAAATAAGTCTTCAAAATTCACCTTTCTCCAGGCACTGGCTATTTAAGTATTCATTGAAGTAGACTCAGTGGTAAGATGCTGTATTACTTCTAAAGCATTACAGAATCCAGAACTCCGGATTTATCTTAAGCCATTTTATCGCCATCCACAGTAAACTTCCCACAACTCAGCACATCCATTGAGGAGCATGGTATCCTTCCATCCACCCCAGTTCCTGTGACCTCATCATCTACTCTTTTGTCGCTTCCCCTCAATGCTTCCCCTGTGTTGTCATTACCAAGAACACCACACCTCTGGAGTGTTTCATACCATCGTCACACTCACTGGAACTTCTGGGAAACCTAATGTGAAATACAAAGGGATCCTTCCATTTTGCTGTTTTCTCAGACTTCTTTACTGTTTCTCATTCCTACAAAATCTGGTCTCTACTTTTAGGTACTAAAACCATTTCTTTAGTGACATCCTCAGTTTTCTTGGTCACACCTGCCTGGCAGAAACTGATCCTGGATTGATCTGCAGCAGTCCACCCTTACTGCTCCCTTTGTCACCAGAGAGCTAAATGTAGACAACCATGACAAATTACATATCTTCACCTCGACCAGACCCTCAGCACTGGTGGTCCTCACTCAGCTTCATCAACCTCCCCAGCAGCAACTCTTCTCCATTTTCACCAGTCTGCATCATCCCTTAGCTACCCTAAGCAAACAACTTCACTCCCTACTTGAATACAATTCACCAGCTTCCAATGTGCTCCCATCAAAGGACCCCATCTTTCCTTCTTCCTTCCTAAAGTCTCAAGGACAAAGGTTTCAAAGCTATATTGGAGATCCCATTCCATTGGGATCTTGTTCTGCCTCTGTCTTTTGCATGTATTCATTATTTTTCAAGCAAAACCAAAAGCTTTCATCTTTGATTAATATGATTACAGAGCACTGGCGAGACTAGTTGGTGAGGGAATGGGAGAATATGCACAAGCAAACAATACTAAGAACAAAACTTGTGAACATAACTACTAGACATTTTTTAAATCATGGAATTCAGTGAACGTAAGTGTAAACTACTTTATGTAGAAAAATTTTGTAGGAAAAGAATCTATTTGTGTTCGAGATTATTCCAGTCTTTCTACTCTTGAAGCTCAGACCATTCCTTTCTAGCTCCTTCTTATGTAAACTTTTTTTTTAATGTGGTACTTGGGTTTGAACTCAGGACCTACACCTTGAGCCACTCTACCATCCCTTTTTTGTGTGTGTTGGGTTTTTTTCGAGATAGTCTTATGAACTGTTTGACTGGGCTGCTATCCTCCCGATCTCTGCCTCCTGAGTAGCTAGGATTAAGGCATGTGGCTCATGTAAGCATTTCTAAAGAGCAACCTTCACTGCCCCATTGATAGTCACACCTAGCTCTCTCCAGTCTGATATCTTCCCATAGCATGCAATTGAAATTCCTCTTGGTAGACTTCCTGTTTTTGTTTGCGAGGGCAGCCATAACAAAATAGCACAAAGTAAGTGGCTAAAACAACAGAAATTTAGTGGCTCAGGTTTCTGGAGGCCACAAATCCAAGATCAAAGGTATCAAAGTTGGTTCCTTCTGAAGGCTGTTGGGGAAGAATCTGCTCTAGGCCTCTCTCTTGGCTTATAGCTAGCTGTTATCTCCCTGTTTTCTTCACATCTTCTTCCTTCTATATGTGTCTGCCTCTGTGTCTATATTTGTCCTTCTATGAAGACAACAGTCATGTTGGATTAAGGTCCCCCTAATGACCTCATTTTAACTTTGAAAACCCTGTCTCCAAGCAAGGTCACAATCTGAGACTTTGGGGGAGTTAGGACTCTAACATATCTTTTTTGGAGGTAGGGGGGTGACAGGTAGGGTAACACCTACCTCCAGATTGTCAGACTAGGAGATTTTCCTGGTGTTTTCTGTATCATGTCTATCAGTCATATTTACAATACTGGTCCTTCACTTACCCTTGACATGAGTCCTCCCTTGACTTTTCTTATAGCTATCTCTGTTTTGTTATCGTCTCGTGTTAATTTTTTCTCCTTTGTAGATATAGTTCTTTTACATGCTGGTAACAGTTGATATTTCCCTGAATTCCATTTTTGGCTCACAATTCTGCCTGATTTTACCCACTGTCAAGGTTTCGGTGACTGCTTAAGATGGCTCTCAGGCGTTCATCTCATTTTCTAGTTTTTTCCCTAAGTATTAGGATCCCTGGTTTCAGTCACCGTGTGTTCATCTACTCCAGAACTAAATAGCATCCCTCCCATCTAACCCTGTTGCTCTTCTTCTTTTCTTTATCTTGGTTGGTGAAAGCAGTGTCAACCCAGGCACCCATGCCAAAAACCAAGGACACGAACTCCCCTGGCCTCCTCTGTCTTTCATCTGTCACATAAATAATTATTCAGGTTCTTGGTTTTCTTCATAATTATTTCTAGAATCTACCCTCTCCCTCCATTCCTATCACTTCCCAGTTTACCCCCTTATTTCTTACCTGGGCCATTTCTGCAGCCTCCTGATTGTCCTATCTACTCTTTCATCCCTCAGATTGCTTCCTGACTAACCAGAGAGATTCAGACAAACTATGTGCCTCTGAGTCACTTTACTGCCAGAAATCACCCAGGATTCCTAGAATGACATTGAAGGCCAAAGATGATTAGAGCCTTTGCCTCCTTCAGTCCTGTCTCTTCATTCCCTGCCTTCCTTTTTCCAATACTAAATTGCAAGTGGTATTCCTAACACATCATACTTCATCATTTCTCTTTGCCTACTCTCTTGTGATTTTTCAGTGTCTTACATCCCCTTGGCTCCCTTTTACCTGGCCATCTCCTCCCCACCCTTCCAGACTCTGTTCACAGCCTGCATTCTCTCTGCAGGAACTTCCTCTGACCCAGTTGTGGAGCTGTGTCTGTGGAACTCCCTGAGAATGCCCATCATAGTTCCAACCATATTTACATGTGTCAGTCCCATTAAACTGGAAGCTCCAAGAAGTCAGAAACTTTCCTCATTTCTTTATGGTCATGCCCAGTCCAGTACATGAACTATCCCAAGCAACAATCAGTGTTTGTTAGCTTTCAATAAATTTCACTACCTTGTAATACCAAGACAGTATGACTTCCTTACAAGTTGTCATCCAGAGAAAAATTGAAATATTTTCTGATTTTCAGCCAACTCCTATAGCATGCTGCCAGCCAATAGGCTGAGTGTCTCAAAATTTAGAAATCACCTTGCTTTGAAGGAAAGGTACTGAAATAGCTAAAATGGTGGGAGTAGGAGGGACGTCCACTCTCCTGCATCTTTTCCCCCCTGTTATTTTAGTCTTCTTCTGCTTAACTGGCGTAACACATCTAGATTCCACTTCCTGGTCTGTCTCCCAGATCAGCAAGTCTTTATCCTTTGGCTCATCAGCTAACAGCCCCACTTCCTTGCCTCTACCCACATGTGCTGTAGGGCTAAAGTTCTACATTGGTAGATGTCTGGAGAGGGAGTCTTTAACTGTGCTACCCTGATCATCTATCTGTCAGTCTCCACAGTGGATCAACCATATCAGCAAGAGATATGGTAGAGAGCACACCCTTGAGCTCACCTGTGAACCAGGCAGGAGTACTGAAGTGAGAAACTGCCAGAGAACCCAGAAGTGGAAGAAATGGACCAGGAGTCTCTGGTCCATTTGACCAGAGACAGCTTTCCTCCTCAGAGTGTATCTAGCTACCTCACCACCTTTTAAATGTAAAAATGTGTAACATTTTTGAAATTAGTAGATCCAGTAAGTTGAGCCCGACTAACATAAAAGACTGGTCAGGCCCACCTCTAGACAAGCACAGAGGCCTTTTAGAACATGTACCCTAGTTTGTCACACAGGACACGGCCAGAATGCACCAAGCTATTCTGAACTTAGATTAATTCCAACCAGAAGTCACTGAAGTGAGCAGTTGCTGCAAGGCTGTGCATGTATAACTGGTGTTCAGTATTTACCCTCCTATAGCTTCAGGGTTCCATCTTTAACTGGATGACTGATGATGACGATTAGGGAATCACTTTAATTTTCTGTATCCAGTTAAATTTCATAGAGGAACTAATTTGTAAGTCCATACAATAGCACAAGCTACACTTGATCTTGCAACACCAAGACCTGAGAGCATGCTGCTTCACGGACTATCTCTGAGGGTGAACGGCCTACAGGCACAAATTAGGAGAATAAAATATAACACCTGGATGGACTATTCCAAAGAACTCAACCTTGTAAAAGAGATTCCTTTTTGTATTATAAGTTAGTTTTGTTTTCCCATTAACCACACTTGAACAGAAAGGAAAAGAAACAGAAAGGAGTATTTTTAACCTCACCTAAGTAGAGGGAAGGGAGTCATCTTCCCTGCCCCATCAAGCCTTCCAAGTGTAGCACTTGTGCCAGCTGGGTTTTCTCTGGTTTTCCTGAGTCACCTTTTCCATACTCTGGCGCTCCAGCCGTTAGTCCCTGGGAAGGGACTAATCTCCACCTACTTGTGCCCTGCTCACTCTCTCAGTTCATGCTTTCATGAAACGAGGAAAGTTTGAGAGGAAAAAGCATCTGGGACACACTTATTTTGGTGTTTTATCAGCCTGAGATAAGATCTTCCAGTTCCCTGAGTGAAGTACATCTCAGAGTGTCATAGACCATGGGTAGACAGTTTCCTTTTTCTCCAAAGGACATCATGGCTGTGTCCCTTTGACTGTTTTCTTTGAAGTGGGTTCACAGACTATTGGTCACACCCCTACAAGGAAGAAAAAAATCCTTGATTTCTAAATCACATGTCAATAATCATAGAAGACTGTCCACTACTGCAACTAGTAGGTAGAAATAGTTTCTTCAAAGTTGTGCCAAGTGACAAATGAGGCACAAGTATCAGA